TTTGATATTATTACTACGATTGTTATTATTTAAACAAACGTACGTTGCTATCGTTGCTGAACCGAATATTTGGACGAATCTTGTGGAGACACACACCAGAACAGCAATTACGCATGGTGAAGGCAATTCAGCATTTCCCTGCGAAAAGGATGTACTAGATCCCCTGTGGAATTTCATCACTACGTTATTCTTCGAAATGTTGAAAAAGGATACACGACCGCGCATCTGGGAAGCGTACCTGGGTGGTCAAATTGATTCCTGGGTTTGGGTTTGGCGATGGATTGGCCAGTCGTTTGCCGAGTATTATCACTTTGCTAGCGAACGCCGATCGGGGGGAGGGGGGATTCACTTTTCCAAGACTCGGGAAAGCGGTATTGCCACGACGAGTCCGTTGGAGGGGGAGGACTCTTCAAAACACGACCCCTAGTTACAATTGCCTCCCCTGGTAAGCTCCCCTCCTCCTTCAACCGATCCCCCCTCCCAGGATCTTCAAAGTACAACGTGCCCTGAGTGATACCCACGCTTCATAAGCTCATCCTATGAGGCGGAGTTAATCCTGTAGCAGAAAATCTTCTAATTTTGTTATCATTTAACTACCCCTCCTCCAAATAAAGGCCATGAGGCGGAGTTATCCTCTGTGGGGTGGCCTTACACAGTCTCTATTTGGTACTAAAGTATGAGTCTTACCTTTGCAGACGCTGCAGCATGCATTACAGTATAATCTTCCTTGAAAACCGTAGAAATAACCAGTAATCCCGCGATATTCAACAGTATGGAGAACAGGGCCGGGGCATTGTAGATGCTTACATGAAGAAAAGGCAACAAATAAACACCATCTGGTCCAAGGGGTGTAAAAAGCAGTTGAAACGCTAAAATCCAATAAATCATTCCCATCATATAGATCTTATTGTTCGACCACTTTTTCGTACAAAAGATTTTTCCACATAGTAACAATTCCTAACCTGGTCCAACTAAGGTGCCAATAGCAATTCCACCGCTCACACATGCAATGGCTCGGGACCGATCACTCCTCGAGGACGTCATCGACACGTAGGCTCTGAGAAGCGACATGTTTCCTCAAATACGTTATTCCAGATATAAAGAATTTGATGTTCAATAGTTCATAAGCTGATAAGTGACTCTGCAAGGAACACACTGGGAAAGGCTATTCGCCCACTATAAACTCAAACTGGCACCTTCAATTCGTTGTGAGATGAATCTTCGCTACCCACCCAGGCCGGGTCCTACACATCAGTTTTGCTGGTGTAGTTAACCTGGCTTAGCGAAGCCGGCTAGGCAGTGATCCTGAAGGTGCAGTCTACGCTGATGGCAATGATGGAAGCATTTCTCAAGACACTCATCTTTTCTTATTGACGCGCCCCTGTTCGTTGCCCCTCAGGAGGAAAGAAACACCAAAGAAAAACGTACAGTTTGATATGGTCACAATTAGTGGAGGAGATAGGCTTGGAATGAGCCAACTGCGGCGTTTTCTACCACTGGTTGATTTCCTTCTGAAGCAGCTTTTTGGAGGATAAAACGGTTGATCGTAACAAATTCCGATTCTGCTATGATCACTGCGAGGTATGCCGTCAAATGAAAATCCTCTCAGATCTATCTCATATCCCGGAGACAAAAAGGGCGTGGCTGGGTACATCATTCGGATATGCTGTTCAGGGAGGACGTTGTGAAGGAATTGATGGAGGTGGAAAAGGACTTTTTTGAAAAGAAAATTTGTTAGAATTACAAGAGAAATCTTCACAAGAACGGATATTATGAGGGCTTTTTATTTAATTAAAGTAGTCCGAAATGTGAATCAAATTTTGATTAAACTTATACATTACCTGTTCCACATCCAGCGACAGCTCGAGCCGCCATCATTGCGTAGACAACTCTTGTTGATGGCACTAGTTCTAGAATAAATAAAGCGAATCCAGCCATCATGAATGTAAAACGGAGGAAGCTGGTAACCGAACCCTGTTTAACTCGTAGAGATCAGTACCTCAAACGACAAAACAGCCTCATAGTAGCTTGAAGGCCGAATTTCGCTAGTGATTGGAAGACGAGCCAATGGCAAAAAGTAGGCTCAGTTCCCTGCGTTCCTTTGAGGGTACAGTCCACGTTAATTGTATGGGCGGAGACAGTCACGCCTTTTGCATCCTTCACTGATCATCGTGTTCGAACGCTGTGTTGAGAGAAGACACACCAAAAACGGGACAATTTTTGACTGTCCTCGCCCATATAATTGCCGCAAACTTTGTCATTGAGAAGTTAACCGACCTGCTCTATTCGATTACTCCAGTACCCGAATACTGGAGCTGATATACATTGAGCAAAACTGTATAATCCCAAAATATAACCGAACTCAGTTTCTATAGCTTCTGGGTTGAGCTGAAATGAATTTCCTCGTCGAACAAAACGTGGAAATAACAAAACGTAATCTAATACTGGTCACTGTCAGGAAACAGTTAATTCACCTTCCTCAGGTAAGGCCACATTGAACTGGTGAAGATGCCAAACTGAACCGCTTGAACGAATGAGCAAGCACCGGCAAGGTAGATCGATGCCCACGGAGTTTGGCATTCTTTCGCAGTTGGGGGAGGCTTTTCAGGGTCTTCCTTAATTAATCTCATCATTGATCAAATAGCTGCATAAGTCGAATAAAAGGATAAGGCTTTCGTGTTGATGAGTCCATTTTAGGATGCAGCACGCAGGGTACTTCATTTCATAATCGCAGTGAGTTATCGAAAGAGTAATGGCCCATACAATGACCCGCGGGCCAGACGATGTACAGGCAGAG